AAACCACATAGCTAGCTTCCCTGGTGTTATTGATTTTCATTATCCTCCAGACAAATTAATTCAATTTGCTTCCCTTACACACTTTGTGGGAGGTGTCTCTGTTTTCACAGATGACTCCTATTTGAGCAGGGGAGATTATATTACAGCCTCCTCTTCCTGAATATAGGATACAGGTTTTTCTTGTGCACAAAAGACTGAATTGCAGGCTGTTATATGGGCGTTCAAGATCATTCATCCACTCAAATTAACCTTTTTTCAGACAGTGATTATATTTGCGATGTGGTGTGCCATGTTGAAACTGCCACCGTTCACACTAACCAGGAAGATATTTTTCATTTGTTTCATACTCTCCAGTTTGTCATTCAGTCACACCATGTCCCGTGTTTTATTGGCCATTTATGTTCTCATTCCCAATTGCCAGGGACTCTTACTAAGGGAAATGCTACTATAGATGGATTGCTGTCATTGTTGTTGTTGCTCCCTCAGATACCATTCAATAGCCTTCTGCCTCCCACGCCATCTTCCATCGGAACGCTTCAGCACTGCACAAACAGTTCCTTTGAACTAGAGACCAGGCTTGACAAATTGTTAGACAATGTTCCTCATGTGTAATACATCTTTCTTCACTCCCTATGGGAGTTAATCCTTGAGGATTATATCCAAATCATCTCTGGAAAATGAATGTCACTCATATTCCTGAGTTTGGCTGTCTATGCTGGATTCACTTTTCAGTGGATACTTCCTCAGGATTTAGTTTTGCTTCCTCCTGCACTGGTGAAGTGGCTAAACATGTCATAGCTCATTGCTTGCATGCCTTTAGTACCCTTGGCTGCCCAAGGGCACTTAAGACTGACAATTGCCCAGCTTATATGAGCACTGCCTTCCAAACATTTTGTGAAACTTTTCACATTTCCCTTACCGTGGGAATTCCTTACACTCCTCAAGGTCAAGGAATTGTTGAATGTGCTCCCTGCACTCAAAATTCAAATAAAAAAAAAACAAAAATTGGAATCCTTCCCTACAAAATTCACACCTCATAATAGACTTCACTTGGCATTATATACTATTAACTTAAAATCCTACTAGAGATGTCACTACAGCAGCAGAAAGACAATTCAATAAGGCAAAGGAAAAGAAGTTAGGAAGGGTTCTTTGGAAAGATCTTCATACTGGACAATGGAAAGGACCTAGTACAGTGCTAATTTGGGGTCAAGTGCATGCTTGTGTATTTACAGAGAATTCTGAACAGCCTATCTGGGTGCCAAAGCATACTGTTAGGCTATATCATGGACTCGGATCCAGAAGAGGAATTGGTTCCATCTCTCAAGAAGGTGATGCTCAGTCCTGTGTCAGTGATGCCTCAGAGACTTCTCCAAAGCCAACAGACAAAGATGAGGCTAGACCTGACCTTAGGTCAATTAAGGAAATTGACCCAGGATGCCCAAGACATGGTAACCAAAAATGAGAAAAGAAGATCTGAGTAGATGACAGAGTGTATAGAAACAACTGAGCTAGAGATTATGTGAAAGAAAGGGACCCAAAAATTGGCAGTATTATTAAAAGTAAATAAAATACAAAATTATACATTATTTGTAGATAAAAGGCTTTGTTTCTTCCAAATTTTCTTGTACAAGATCACTGCTAATTGACCTACAAAAACCTGACTAGTCTATTTATAATTACAAACTTCTAAAATTATAAAGAGTTATTACAATTTAATTTAGCCAAAAAATATATTTGAGTGCACTCAGATATTATAAGCAGATTGTTTATGTTGTTTGTCTGTTTGTCCTATCTGTGAACAGCTTCTACATTTGAGCTCAATAATTTTTTCCCTTTTATCTTTTTCTTTTCTGTTTTTGGGTCATTTGTTCATAATTTAATTTGGTTTATAGATTTAAAAGGCATGCTTCTACCTGGGTTACCAGCTGGTCAATATATCAAAATTGGTTTTCTCACAGGTCATCAGAAATTTGTTAAGGTAACTAGAAACCCTTTGGGCTTGGAAAATCATTGGTCAGAGCTCCCTTTGGTGAATAAAGGAGCATCTGCCTGGGAAAAATTATCCAGCCTGTGTTCACTAATAGGAAGCACCAATGATCTCCATAACCTTGTGGGAGACACCCCAATAAATGTTATTAAAAATATACTATTGTGATATGTTTATATGGGTCATTTAAAAAATTAAGTTTTCTAATAATGAAATAATAATGCTTTCTAATTTACAGATGCTTCAGTACAAAACTGAATTGAGAAAACACAAGTGTTCATATGGCTATGACAATTGATTGTTATTAATCTCAGGAGTATTAAATGTATTCAGGCCTCCAAATATACAGGTCTTCCAAAATGTAAAACAGGGATTGTTTATGGTGATAGAACTTATCTTTCTGATTCAGACATTGGCCTTTCCTTAGTGCTACAAATAATTGTAATAGGAGGTTCATGTCAAGCCAACATGAGGTTACCAGTTAGTAATTATAACAAAAACTTATATGATGTATATATTATATATTTGCTACTACACTTAGAGATGCCAAAACAGACAATGTCACAAATTTCTTCAGTGACATCTCATTTAAAGTCAACAAGCTAGGTAAAAGCTTCTTAAATATTAGACAGAGACGACTGATTAAAGAGCTATACTACGTCAAAAGGCAAATTTAAGTATGTGACAAAAATATCATCATGATTGTCATGCTACAATATTATGAATGGTTTTGATTTTAAATTTTCTGTGTAAAACTATATAACTGTTGCCTGTTGGCATTCTACAGAGATTCAACTATTAGAACATCCATAGTTTTTCGAAAATAACAGCTCTATTTTATGTTCTAAAGTGCTTGAAATTCAGATAAAATAGTAATATTGAGCTCATTGCCTTCATTACACAATGTCATTAACCTTCTCTTCAGGATGTTTAACAACTGAGGTATGGAGACCCAAAACTAGAAAGACAGATAGGTTAACAGGACAGCCAATATTTTGGTCACAGCCCTCAGAGGTCAATGAGGGCCCAGGATATGAGGGATCCTTTTCAGTGACATCCTGAAACTCTGATGGGTTATACAAACTCCTGATCAGGAGGTTGTAGGACTACAGAGGATAAAATCTATGGTATATAGTGTGCCTGAGGAGAGTCACTAGGAGATGGTTCCAAAATAAATTCTGAGGAAACTTAATTGACCTTGATAAATAACAAAATCGATTAATACAAGTCTCACCTTCATTTGGTCTTAAACATCTAGCAGAAAAATATAACCACAAGAGGCATAAAACAATTGTCAACTATACTAGTAACTGATCACTGTTCTGGGATAATGTACTTTATAGGATTAAATTGCTATATGCAGGGACTTAAAATCCTCGGACTGGGAATCTTTAGCCTAAATTGAACAAGTTCATCTAGAATGGAAAGGATTTAAGAAGGAGAATACAGCTCCTGCAACCTCAAATAACTACCCATCACTCATAACTATAAAGCAGAAAAGATGGATGTGGGGAGCAGCTGAAGCTGGAGATCGATCAAAGCTAGCCTCAAGAACATAGCACCTGGGGCAAGTCCCATGAATACACTACTCTAATCTCAAGAAGACAGTGCCTGAGGGAAGTCACATGGATAAGTTACTCCAGTCTCAAGAAGACAGCACACCTGAGACAAAGCCATGTGGATATGCTATTAGGCGGAGACATTTCACATGATATTCAACCTCCCAAGTATATAAATAAATGTGCTGCAGCCATTGGAGCTCTCTCCTTCTCCTCTTCCTCCTTCTTCCTTTCTTCCTTCCCATCAGAAGAGAGGGCTTCATACAGCCTCAGTTTTCTATATTCCAACTCTTGTCCTTCTTTATTCATCCTCTCACCATCCTCATCCTGGGAAGACTGAGAGCTGTGTGGGATGCAGCAGTGATCTTCCTGCCTCAGCCTCCTGAATGGGCCATCCCTAACCAGTATCAGCTTTAAAGTCTAAGTACCAAAAAGCTTTATCTAAATATCTAAATCAGATATAGGTAGGACTCAAGGTTTGATTCAACCTGAAGCAAAATTTCCACTTTGTCTTAGGTCCTTTTTGCTTAACAATTCTTTTTAAAATTTGTTTCTTTCTTTCTGCCTTTTACAATAAACAGTCAGTTGGAACTAAGCTATTACTTTCAAACTTTGCTTAGAAATCCCTTCACTTTGTGGCCAGGGATATAGCTCAGTGGCACAAGCGCCTGCCTGGCAAGTGCAAAGTTCTGAGTTCAATTCCCACTACCAAAAAAAGAAAAGAATCCCAACTAAATATCCAATTGCATGAAAAAGCCTTAGAATACAGTTCAGCCAAGTTCTTTGCCACTTGAACACAAGGATCATCTTTCCTCCATCGTCTTATAACATATTCCTCAGTTCTAAGACCTTACTAGAATGATCACTCCATATTCCTACTAATGTTTGTTGATGATTATTTGTGTATTTTCTTTTCTTTTTTTTGTTTTGTTTTGTTTTGTTTTTGAGACAAGGTCTCACTATGTACTTCAGGCTGACCCTTAACTCAGTATGTAGCCCAGTCTGGCCTTGAACTCACAGAGATCCTCCTGCCTCAGCCTCTTGAGTGTAGGGATTACAGACATGCAACACCACAAACAACTATTTGTGTATTTTCTAAAAAGATGGAAGTTTTTCTCCTAAAAGTCCTCTTAACTCCTAACCAGAACCATCACTCTTTCTTTCTTTGTTGTTTGGGACAAGGTCTTGCTGTGTATTCCACCCTTGAACTCACTATGTAGCCTCGAATTTGTGGTAATTCTCCTGACTCAGTCTCTCAAGTGCTGGGATGACAGGCATGTGCCACCATGCCTGGCAGAACCATCACTCTTTTTTTGTATGTGCGCCTACAGAACACATACATTCCATAGTCATATGAGGTGTTTTATTTAGACCATTTCTAAGGATTCTGCTTCAGAGGTTTCACTGCAGCATTCAAGCATCTTAATGAGCACAATCTAGTCTTTCAGAGATCATGTGTCATCAAAGTCAGCAGAGTTCTCATGGTCATTTGCTATAAGGGCTTCTCTCTTCTCGTAAGTCCAGAAACCATTCAGATCAATTAGAATGGTAGTAACTGTGTCTGCTTGGTTACTGTTGATTAAATCCTGGAGAGAAATTTTCAAGGGTTTTACAATGTCAAAAATTTCATCCTTAACATCTCGAAATGAAACAGGATCTTGTCCATGGATTTTCATTAGTTCCTGTATTGCCCTGAAGAAATAATGAAGGGAAAAGACATTCAGATATTCCTTGTTCTCAATATCAAGCAGTTTGAAGATGTACTGTAAAGCTGCAGGCTCCTTCCTATTTTCTAATGCAAGAACAAAGTTCAAGTAGGTCTTATAGTCCATTTCTCCATCGTAAGTGAGACACTCCTGGAAAACACGATCTAAGAAGACATTGGTCATAGTTGTCCCATAGCGGAAGAGCTCTTCTCTACTGAGCATGCCATTGTGATCTTTATCGAGATTCAAATACTGGCCATAAACTCTTAGGGCAGAAGGAGCAGAAAACCAGTTTGTCTCTTGACTCTCCTTGGACAGTTCCTCATCCCTTAGCTCCAGTAAATCATCCAGCAAACTATATGCTAAAATATCTTGAATTTCTATCTTCCCTGGTCTTAGAGGGTCCAAAAAGAAGAAGAACTTCCTAACTTCTGTACAAACATAAAAGGAGTAAAATGATTTTTCCAGCCCATCTAATTGTGGCAAAGTAGGAATAAGTTCCAGTATGTAGTTTTCTAAATCAGATTCCCGAAGGTATCCTTGTCCAGCAACATCATATAAAATGAGTCCTATTCTTGTTTGATGAAGCCAAACTTTTCGCATGACAGAGTTAAAGAACTGCATGATGGAAATTCTTCCATGTGAATCTGTATGAAGGAGTTTAGCAAAGACTTTTGTAGGGAAAAATTGTTTGCATTTTGGTCCGGCTTTTTGACCAACCCTCAGAATTTTTTCATAATTGATCCTTGATTCTTCTCCAGTCATAGGTGGTGTCTGGCATTTGTCCAGCAAAAACCATAAGTTCTGTAACTCTTCATTATCTAAGAGTTCTCTGCTTTTCCTTTGTAGAAAGACAGCTCTGGATTCCTCTCTTAATTTCTGTAACAAGACTTCATCGTCTGCTGGAAGCCTGTAATAAAACCAGGGAATCATCTTATAGAATGCATTTGTGTTTTTTCAATCTCCTTTCCATTCTCAGTAGTATTTGGTAAATAAATACATTTCTTCATCTTTTAATTCTTTTTCATTTTTTTCCTTGTTTGTATCTGTGTTGGGTATCACTAACCTCAGGCGAAGGACTTCTTTCTAGTCCATGACTGACTCCCGAGCGGCAGTGCCTTCATTTGCAGTTTCTTAGCCTCTCTGTCCTCTTACAGGCCTGACGACACAGCCAGACTCCTTCGGGGTCAAGAAGGCCACCCTGCTGCCATCTTGGACATGGGTGGAAGTCACAGCCAGCCCAATATCAAAGATCAGGACAAGGAAGCCTGCATTTTAATTTCTTCATTGTGGGCCTCTGGCGCATGTGCCAGAACCATCACTGATGGGTTTCTCACTTCACTGTAATTTCTGCCCAGTAGCTATAACACCCAAATATGGCGCTGGAGATCACGTGCTATGGCGCTGAACCAGTATGGCACTGAACCAGTACGGTGCCGAGCCAATATTGCGCTGGCCATTAGAGGTCATGTACTCAGCCCCACCTTTCTTCCTCTGAGTTAGATTATGACTTCCTACTTCCCTTTTTGTAATGCCCTGTTTCCTTTTCCCATGTTCCTGCCCAATCCTGGTCTGCCAGTCAGGCGGTCTGCCCCATAAATCCCGCCTCCAGCCTGGGCCTATTTAACCTTTGACCCTAGGCCAGGCTGTCAGAAGCTCCACATCTTTTCTTTCCTACTGTGGTCTTCTCTGTGTCCACAATAAAGACATTTTATTCTGCTTTACTTCTCTCTGCACTGGAAAAAGCCTATCAATCACTCTTTTTAAATTTTTTATTTATTTATTTATTC